ACACATCACATCCCCTACCCACTTGGCTGACGTCTTCCCAACTCTCTATTTCTACTTGAGCGTCCTACCTCACCTACTATCAAATTTTAGAAGGCCGGAGGTCAGGCCGAGATAGTGGGGACAGATTTCGGGTGAGAGTATCATCGGAAGGGTCAGAAGCTGATTCAGCAAGTCGCCATGCCTCGTCTGCACCTGTGCGGCATCGTGTGGGGGTCTCTGTCACTCTGTTTCCACTTTCCATGAAAACTGCCAGTGTGGGTCTCCCTACACTGAATTCCTCACGAGAAGGCGATATCTTACTTGTCTGTGCCACCCCAAGACTTACCGTTATGCTTAACCCATAGCAGGTGTCCTTTGACTATTCGCTGACTAAATGAATATTGTCTTGCGTTTTGTTCTTCGAGTAACATACAGGTTCAACAAAATGGAGAGTGGCTATAGGGAAAAGCTGACATAAGTGACACAAGTTACAGTTTTCATATAGTTTGTAAGACATCTATCCTCCTAATTAGGCATACCCATGTAATAAGAAAATAGTAACTATCATTGATCGCACATGGATGTACGCCCTACCTATGCTAAGCATTTATATTAACTGAATAGGTGAGAGATGGTATTATCCATGGAAGAACACGAGGCAGCAAGAACACGAGCCCGAGATCGAGTAGCTAGTGAGGACACAACTGGAATTTACACCCAGGTCTATTTTTTTTTTTAATGTTTTATTATTTATTTTTGAGAGAGAGGGATAGAGAGAGAGAGAGGGAGGGAGAGCAAGTGAAGGAGGGGCAGAGAGAAAGGGAGACAGGATCCGAAGCAGGCTCTAGGCTCTGAAGTGTCAGCACAGAGCCCAATGGGGGGCTCAAACTCACGAACCATAAGATCATGACCTGAGCCCAAGTCGGATGCTTAACCACCTAAGCCACCCAGGCGTCCCTAAACCTAGGTCTATTTAAATCCCAAACCCGGATCTCATCCGTCTCATGCTGTGTATCTGAAGGTCTGCTAAATAAAAAGGGGAGTTATCTGGTTCTCCGTTTCTTTAAAGAGAAAAATAATCTCGCAGCTTTGCGAAGGGAACAGTAAACATTTGAACAAAGCATCACTGTTCAGGGAGTTGTAGAGCAACACCGGCCACGGGGGTGAAATCAATTTGAAAAATGCCAATGGTTATACGCTGAGTTTTATTTGGCAGTCCCACGTGTCTTACAGGAAGTGTTTTTATTAACTCTGGCTTTTAATTGTGATGGCAAAAAGGTGACCATTGTTATCAATTTCCTCCTCAGAGACTTACTCTTCTAGAGAGAGTCAAGTAAAGGGTGGGTACTAAGAACTTGTGGGAACAGTATACCAGGCATTGTACTAAACACTTTCTTACCATCTCTTCACATTTTCTCTTTCACGCATGGGATTTCTCTTTCGCGCATGGGATTATGCGCATCATTTTGCAGATGAGTGATGAGTGACGCAGAATGATTTAGTAACTTAATATCACACAGAAACGAAGGGTCATGGCCAGGTCCCGCCCCACCCCGATTCTGCTGAACTCTGTGGAACCATTGTTCTAAAGGTGAAGTTAGACCAAGACTTTAACGAAGTCCAGGAGTGCTAGACTCTTGCTCAATATAGAACTAATAAATATTCATTGACTTCTGTGTACTTGGAAATACACGGTGGATAGTGCTAGAAGAATTACTGACTGGTTAACTTACAGGAACGTCTCCATCAGGCCTTGCATGAGCCCCTTTGAGCCCTGGTATATGAACTGGAGATGTATATAATTGTTCTCCTGTTTATTTCCTATCTGTGCACAAACAGCCACCTTTGAAAATTTTCATTGGGAGGCAGCAGGATTTTGAGGTTCAAAAAAGGCAGATTTGGAGTCAGACCGCCCGGGTCGAACCCCACTCCACCACCCAAAGCCACGTGACCCGCGGCAGGTTACTTAACTCCTTCCTGAAGAGGGGTTGTATTCAGTGGCATAGCTGAGCCTTCACTGGAGATTTTTAGGATGCACGCTTTTGCTTCTCCACGAATTTCTGAAGCTAGCCGAGGATATTTGAGCAAAGGTCCCCATGACTGAATGTCCCTGCAGAGCGTGCTGTGAGGGACTGGCTACCCAATGCAGGCAGTTAGCAGGAGGGAGGAAGGAAAGAAGGAATCAAAGAGTCTGGTTAGCCACATCCTTCCTATAATTACCCTAAACAACAAACTCTCTGTGTATACCCTGCAGTAGCCATTCCTTAACCTTTTTTTTTTTAAGGGCTTTATTTTCATTTCTGTGAAGTTTTGAAATCATCAAAAGGTGGGGGAAGCCAATTGTAAAACACCTGAGTGGAGCTGGGGAGGGAGAACTACTGGCTTCGTTTTGGGTTCAGACTAAAAAGCGTTAACACCCACGGCTGCTTGGGAAGTCCCATAGAGTGAGCTGAGCTTAACATCTTTGGTGATACCTAGTCTAAGGAAGACCTACATGGTGACATTAAAAGAGGTCTGGTTCTGAGGAAGGAAAAGGAAAAACAAAAACAAAAACAAAAACAACACGAGTCCTTATTGAGCCTTGACGGTTTTCACATATGTAACTGCATTTAATCCTTCCGATTGCCCTGTGGTTTTGAGGAAAATGATGCTCAGAGACTTCAGGAATTTGCATTAACTTTGGTGACTTTTCTATCAGCAGCAGTGCCAGAAGTCGCACTCAAGACTTTAGCGATGTGCAACTGATTATTACTAAGGGATCATTTAATCTGTTGCGAGCAGGTATTGATCGAGTTCTTTCTATGGGCCAAGAACCATGGCAAATGCTAACTATATAGATAAAGAAGAGGAAAAGTAAATGAGTCTCTATTGTCATGGGAGCTAGAGCCACTGATGAGGCCAAGCAGATAGAGCAGAGGATAGACCCTGTCCCCAACCCTAAGCAGAAAATGTACACTGTTTCCTGTTTTACTTTGGGCTTACATGGAAGACTTTGTCAAAATGTTTGTCTTTTATTAATAATTTTTAAGAGATTGGAAATCACTGATAAACTATCAGCACATTCACAGAAGAGAAAAATAGGTAAAATCAGAATGACTCTATTGGGTGAAAAAAGGGATTTAGGCAAAATATAAATTATAGCCTACTTGTCCCAGTCAATTTTCATCTGATTTTCAGATGATACGGAAAAGATTCCTTTCCGATTCACCTTCAGCTACTTTCGGGGGTGTGTTCCTTTTCCTCTCTAGTAATTTGGTTAAATTTTTTTTAATGTTTATCTATTTTTGAGAGACAGAGCACGAGCAGGGCAGGGGCAGAGAGAGAGAGGGAGACACAGAATCCGAAGCAGCCTCCAGGCTCCGAGCTGTCAGCACAGAGCCCGACGCGGGGCTCGAACCCACGGAGCGTGAGATCATGACCTGAGCCGAAGTCGGACACTCAACCGACTGAGCCACCCAGGCGCCCCTCTAGTAATTATTTTTAAAATCTGGCAGCCATCTGCCCCTTAGTGAGTATCCTAGTAATTGTAATTGATATCTTTCTCCTGATATCTTTCTCTGGATAGCTAAGGCCACCAGGCTACCGTTATCGAGATGGGGTGCACACAAGATACTCAAGAATTAGTTCTGGAAAAACAATGCTCTGCTGGTGTGTGGAGCAACCAGAACATCCTCACCTTCCAAATGGACTGCTCTAGTGTTCTCCAGTTGGATACAAATGAGATGCATGACACATCCTAGAAGAATTACTGTGGGCGGTGTGATCTACCAGAAAGAACCCTGGTCTTGGGTTCTTGCTTTGGTATCTAGATGAGATCTGTCTAGATTAGATCTCATCATCTCTGATTTTCTTTTCCCTGCTTGAAGAAACAAGATGGGGGGGGGCGGGAGGGGGAGCGGAGGTGCACAGGTGGGAAGAAAAAAATAATGCTACTTTCCTTTCTATCCCATAATATGGCTGTGAGGATCAAATAAAATCACAAATACGGAAAAATTTTAAGAAACATTGTCTAAGTATGAGATGAGTGTATTTGTATGTCGAGAATTAAATATCCCTTCAGGAATGGATTTATGAAAAGAAAATCTCGTGGTCTGCTGGTATCTAGTTTCTTGAACGCAATACAAAGAATTATTAGTTCCTACGACGTCTGGAAAGCCTGGCTACATCAAGGGCACAATGAGGCTTTGAGACAGCCTTAAGAAAACAGACTGGGGCTGATACATACTGTTTCTGCTTTCATTGGGGGAAAATATAAATCAAAGGGGGACACTTCACTCTTTAATCGCCAGTTATTTCCTCTTCAGTGCTGTTAAGAGTTCCTTGAAGTAACCACTTTCACAGAGGCTGAGAAAAGTAGTGGAGACAAACCCGATAAGCTTTTTATTGCCCATTGTCTAATTCCCTGAAAGCTAGAGGAAATAACGAAAATGGAGACAGACCACTGCCCCCAGTTTTTTTCTTAAAATTCAAAGACCAAAGTAAAATTTGCTCCTTTTCGGCTCACTATTATTGTGACTCAGGGAAGCCAGAAAGGATTGTGTGTGGAGCGTGGGCTCATACACACACACACACACACACACACACACACACACACACCTTGCTCTATTATGGTTTAGTTTTTGTTTTTTGGTTTTTTTTTGGACCCTTAGTTGATATACTACTGCATTAATACTCTCACCTTTGTGTTACCTAACCTGCCCCCCGTCTCGATTTTTGCAGATATTAAAAATGTCCTCTAAAACACAGGAATTGAATTTCTGTGAGCAAACCAACACCCTGGGAAGCAAATCACAGTGGCTGAGGGTGCGTGGAAATCCCAAAGTGGAGGCCTGACCTGCCAGGCAGCACCCCACCCGGCCTTTGCGCCCTGCGAGAAAGAATGCCATTGAAACATTTAAGCCCACTGACATTGGTCATGGGTTCTTTTTATCTGAAAAGAGTCCTTGTTCTAACTCCTCTTGCGCGACCTCGCCACGGTCCCCCCTTTCTGGTCCCTTCTCTAGTAGCTCTGACTCACTTACCCAGGGGAATTTTTTCCAGCAGGTAGAGATAGCTCTGAAAGAAGTCATTGCGAATGGCTCTGTGAAGGATGAAGGACATGCTATGTCGACAGAGTTCGTCGTCGGTCTTCTGCCAGCGGGATCGAAAGGCAAAATGGGCTCCCAGGTGGGCCATGGTGAAGGGGGATGAAAATTATTCCTACAGAGGCAGGAAGCTTGCCTGGCCGTTTCTTTGAATTAGCCTTCCCTTCCTACACGAACTTGAGACTGTCATTTTAAACCGGCCCCTGCCCATCCATATCAGGAGAGGCTGTCATGGGGCGTGGGGGAGGGGCAGCAGACGCAGGAGGTCAAGCTCCTGGCGCATGCCTCCGTCTGATTGCTTGGGCGACACCGCTCCCAGCCAGCAGGTGCTAAGTAAAGATGAAAACAGGCTGAGTGGGATCCTGCTTCATCCAGGAAAAAGCAGCGTCCGTCTGTAACTTCAAACAGGGACGAGCACAACCCACTAACACCCTGACTAGTTGCTCTAATTTGATTCCTAAATTGGAATTAGCCTAATTTCCATTTCAAAGCGCTGGGAACATTTTGCAGGAGATCCTGTTTCCTGATTTCCATCACTCCCCCTGGAACACAGAATCCTCAAGTTACAAGGACCCTTCAAAGTCATCCTCGCCACCCAGGCTCCTCTCATCAGTGCAAGTTTGCCCACATCATTTCGTAGAGGCGGATATGGGTTTCCCACTTTTAAGGATTCTCCAAGAGACGCAGTTATATGAAAACCTGTTTTGATATTCACTACCCATCTCTGCCAGCAAATCTTTCCTTCTAGATTGCTCTAAACAACACCTCATCAGGTTAGCCTGTTTCTTCCTCTCTGTCTATCGTGGGGATGGTTTTCCTCATAAGTATTCACTTAGTGTCTGTACCTCTGATAGGCCCTTTACCCTTCCCACATACTTTGTACCCTGGAGGCTGACCTGTATTGAGATCAGCGGACTCTCTTGCCTTCTGGATTCTAGTTGGGTCCAGCCAATGGGTGGTGCCAGCAGGAGACTGGAGGAGAATAAGCCGATGTATTTATTCCCCTGGCACCTTCCCTGTGGAGATGCCATAGGCTGACTTCTTCCTTTGGTGGAAAGTCATAGCTCCTGGCTGGCGTCTTCTCATGCAGATATCTTGTCCTACTTCTCATAACTGCTCCCTCCTCTACTGCCTCAGCCCTCCGGGTAGTGACGTGCCATCCTGTCACAAGCCCAGGAGTAATGCGCTATTCCTTGCAATTTTGCTATGCTTACCTACACCTTTTTAAATAGTCCCTTTATTTTTTTTTAATTTTTTAATTAAAAATTTTTGTTAATGACTATCTATTTTTGAGAGAGAAAGGGAGAGAGAGAGAGAACGCAAGCGGGCGAGGGGCAGACAGAGAGGGAGACACAGAATCCAAAGCAGACTCCAGGGTCCGAGCTGTCAGTGCAGAACCTGGAACGGGGCTCAAACCCAAGAATGAGAGATCATGGCCTGAGCCAAAGTCAGATGCTTAACTGACTGAGCCATCCCGGAGACCCATAAATAATCCCTTTATTAAACCAGCTCAAACTCTCAATTTGTGAAGGCTGTCTCTTTCCTATAGGCACCATGACTACCCTTTTATCCCTCTAATGTTCCTAACAGGAGAGTCCATAAGAACTCAATGCTCCATTGGACCCATATCATGTGGGACCACAGACCACCCACCAGCCCCAAACATAAGCACACACACAGATGCACCAATGCGCACCTTATGCATTATGGTAGGCAGCATCTAAGATGGCCGCCAAAGATCCCCCGCTCCTGCCTGCTAGTCACACATCTGTGTCTTCCTCTTTCCTGAAAGTGGGGTAGACTTACTGACTCACTTCTAAAGAATAAAATATGGCAGACACGATAGGGTATCGCTTCCAAGATTAGGTTGTGAAAAAGCCTGTCTTGGACATTTTCCTTTGCTCTGTTGCTTGTTTGCTCTGAGGGAAGCCAGTGCCTTTGGTGAGCTGTCCTGTGGAGAGGCCCACATGGCAAGGAAAGTGTCTCAGTGCCACAGGCCTGGAGTCCAACAGGAGGAGCTAGATTCTGCCAACAATCCTGAGTGAGCTTGGAAGATCTTCCCCCAGCCAACCCAATAAAAGACGCCAAGCCAGCTAAGCTATACCCAAGTAACCAGCCTACAGAAATAAATGTCTCATCTTCTAAGCACCTACATTTTGGAATAATTTGTCTCAATGCAGCGATAGATAGCTAATTCACAAATCATCAGTGGAAGTTTTCTAAGATGTGGAATCTAGTCATGATCCTTCTTTATGTTTCAGTGACATGTTAGTCTTACTGGCCAAGAAAGTAAGGGTTCTATTTCTTTGACTCTGACTTATTTCCCTTCATTTTCCTCTGCTTCTATTTTCCCGTTTCCCTCACCCTACCTCAAGGGGCAGCTATTCAATTTTGATGGAATCGTCCCCATCCCTGGCTTCAGGAATTGCCCAAACTGTAATCCAAGTTACCATTTCCTTTGCTGCAGCGTGTGGTTCATGAAGGGATATGTCATCCCACCCTGAGCCAATCAACACACAGTGTTCTCTCAGGTCCAGTTTTCATTTGGAAGACGGCACATTTATCTAAATCTGTTGTTAATTCCAGCTTGGGTTGGGTTTTCTGTGCTAGCCACCCGGAGTCTCATCTAACACAAATACCATCCTGCTTTATTTGCACTCAATTTTCATGAGGATGGAGAGAAAGCAGCTGATATCAAACAGAACAGGGAAACCACAGGAGCATTTCATGGTGTTAAGAAGAAAGACTTAAAACAAATTTCTTTTTCATGTTTATTTATTTTTGAGAGAGAAAGACAGAGTGTGAGCAGGGCAGGGGCAGAGAGGGAGACACAGAATCAGAAGCAGCCTCCAGGCTCTGAGCTGTCAGCCCAGAGCCCGACATGAGGCTTGAACTCACAAACCGGGAGATCACGACCCGAGCCAAAGCTGAAGGCCTAACCAGCTGAGGGGTGCACGCACCCCAAGAAGAAAGACTCTTAACTTAAACAGATTTGATGAAGTCAGAAACTCATTTCCACCACTTACATACTGAGCAACATTGACAAATTCTGGGTCTCTGAGCCTCACTTTCGTCTTCTGTAATACAAAGATAATGATAATAGTATATATCTCATATAATTTTCGTGAGGACTAAAGATACTCCAAGTAGAACACCACAGTGCCTGGCACACAGTCCATGTTCAATAAGTGGTAGGTATTCTCGTTACAGTCTTTGGAAGAAGGCTGATGATAAATTACAGGTCCTGAAAATACTTAGTACCTGTGGCTCTTCTTGGGTTGTTTTCAGTGGGACGCTGTCCCTTCCCATGAAATTTCACCACCTACGCAGGAGATTATTCTCACTGGATACATTGCAAAGTTGAAGAGAAAAGACATCCAAATGAACTGTGCTATTAGAGCTCATTCATCTATCCTTCAGAATTTTCTATTGCTGGAGGGAAAACTAAGCAGCGGCCAAGGAGAACGAAAGGATCCCCTTGTGTTACCTGTATTTGTCAATGCATCTAACAGGAGGCACATTCTTAACCTCAACATCCGTAATGTTTTGACAACCTCTCCTAGGCTGAAAAAGGTCAGGATGTTTGGTCCCAGGAGACAGACTGGCAGCCACTGACTCCAACTGCTCCCCATTCTCTGGCAGTCGATACCGGCAGGTGTCTCGGTTTTTACAGAACTAATTTCTTTCGCTCTAAAATGGACATGAATTACTTATGTTTGGAGAAGGATCATTAAATGCTCTCAGATCTCTATACTGCAGACCCGTATTCCTGAGTGGGGAGGAAAGGCTCACTGGTTTATACAAAATGCTTTTGTCAGCTTTTGTTTATCTCGGTGGGTCGTCTTAGATTTCGCGACTATTTCTCATACGGGTATAGCTTGCACCAGTTTCTGGCTCGTTGCGTTTGTTTCTTTATGCGAATAATTTTTCTCTCCCAGCTGAGACGTTCTGTTTGTTACCCCCTCACAGCACTCACTTACATTCACACAGAGTGAGTGAGGTTATGATATAGATCTCCAGTCTACCACAGGCATCTAATTTCCAGGCAGGAAAGGAAAGCAAAGAATGTAGAGGAAAGAAATACAACAGTAGCAAGAGAAGGTGGGAACTCAAGTTTATTCAGATTGGTTTGCCTTGTCACAAGGGATCACTTGGTGAGGAATAAACCACTGTTAAACAGTAAATTAGCAGGAAGAGAGATTCAGAAGTAAAAAAGGATACGGGGAAAAAAATCTATAGAGAACATATTCATTCAGTAGTGTGATAAGTTAAATACTTGGAAAAATGCACTCAATGTAAACTACCTATCAAATTAAGATTCCATTATACTTTAAAGTGAAAATTCAACAAAGAGGATAAAATAAAGATATTTTCAGGCCAAGATTGAGTTTACCATTCATAGGCATTCAATGAAAGATTAACTATATATATATATATATATATATAATCATATATCATATATCATTATATATCATGATATCATATATATGATGTCATATATCATATGATATATGGTAATATATATATATGATAATATATATAATTAACTAAGGCTAAAACGATAAGCCAAAATCAGTGAAATTAAATTTAGGATAAAATCATCAATGTATATTCTTGTACACAGGTTTCAGTGAAAATCAGTGGTGAGAATACAGAATGAGTAATTCTGCTTGATAAACTCAATGTGCCTTTCTGCTAAAATGGGCATGGAAATAGACTTTAAGCTAGGTGAGACATCGCTATGAAAAATAGTGCAAAAAAAAGAGCAACTCAAACAGATCACCAGGCCTCAATTTACCTTGTACTTAGAGTATCTGCCTGTTTCTTTATGTTGCTTTTTTAAGGAAGAGGCACCCAATCAAAATCACCCCTGATTATAACTTGGAAGTCATTGATAAAGCCCATTACCTGATATGTGATTGGAATATATGGCCCAAGAGGAGATTTAGATGACTACTTTCACCCACGGTAGAGCCTCACAGAATACAGAAAGGCTGCGTGTTAGGTATACGAAGCCATCAGATTCAATGTTAGCAGTCAGGTTTCAACTTCACGTTCATTATTAAATGCAAATGGGGCTTGAGGCAAATGACCCTTTGCAGCTGAAGAAATATTTAAGCCCATAATGTTCAGGTGAAGTCATTCAATTCAACAGACGGGAAGGCTGGAGCAGCCCTTGAAGGACCCCTTCCCGTCCTACTGAGGAGGAGAGAAATCAGTTGGGCTGCCTAGTTCTCATTAGGGGGTTTGATTCCGCAGCATTTAAATTAAAAATAAATATATTCACATCTCTAATGAAGGGAATAATGTCCCAGCCTAAAGCATCTGTTTGGTGTGTGTATATGTGCATGTATGTGTGTGTGTGTTTGTACTTTGCTC